CTGGAGGCCAGGCAGGGAAGAGGCCTGCATTCTGGGGCCCAAGCAGGGCTGAGATTCCAGGCAGTGACTTCCTACCAGTGCTGAGTTCAGTAACATCCACGCTAGCCTTGGTGATGGCCCCTAAAACAGACCAGAAGAAACCCTGCACACCCTGCCTCCATGCCCTCAGTGGCTGCCACAGCTCCAAAGGCTCACTACTTTCTACCACCTGGTTTTCTTCCCTTGTGGTTCTTTGTGACTCATAAAAAAGATCACTGGGCCAGAAAGAGGGTTCAGCAGGTAAAGGCACCTGCTACCAAGCCTGAAGACCTGAGTTCAATCACTAGGACCTAGGAGACGGAAGGAGAGAATCAACTCCAGCAAGATGTTCTCTGGTCTACACACCACACACACACACACACACACACACACACACACACACACTATAAATGTAATAAATAGGGTTTTTAATGCCTCCTCTAACTACGGTTTGAGGCAGTAAGTGTGCCCCCTCAGGATTCACGTATTTGGTCCCCAGTATGAAATGATTGGCACATTGTGGGACCTTTAAGAGGAGGGCTCTAGTGGGAAAGTATTAGGCCATTGGGAGCCCCTCCAATGAGATTAACAGTTTCCCAAAGGAGCCCAGTTGTAACATAAATAATAAAAACCCAGAGATAGATATTGGGGTTCAAGCTGAAAGATCAGAGAAGCAAAGCAACCAAGCCACTAGAGAGCTCTTACCTCTTTGAAATCTTTGGGCTGAAAAGAAAGCAAGTTCCTGTCTCATCCAGCCTTACATTCCTCTCTAGTGCTGGGTAAAGGTGTGTACCACCACCGCTGTTCCCTAACTAGTGTGGCTAACTAGTGAGGCTGCTGGGACTAAAGGTGTGTGTCACCACTGCCTGGCTTGTACGGCTTGGCCGGTTGGTGTGCCTAGCTTCCCACTCTGATCTTCAGGCAAGCTTTATTTGTTAGATCGTAAACAAAATATCACTATACCCAGGTAGTTCCCAAGAGAAGTTGATCAAAGAACAAGGCTGGCCCCACCCCTCTGGTCAGTTCCTGCTTACATGGGATCTCCTCCCCGTATATTCCTGCCATTGCAATGCCTCCTCTATGACAACCACCAGAGCTAATCAGATGCCAATACTGTGCTCTGGGACTTCAGTAGTGGTTCACTAAATAAGCCTCTTTTCTTCATAAAGTCCTCAGTTTCAAGTATTTCATTATAATCACTGAAGGGAGACTAGGATGTTGTGTATATGGTTTGTCTAGATTGAGTTGGGTCTGCCTACTTGATAAAAATGTTATTGTCATTTGAATTCATGTTTGTTTGCTTTTATTCCATTTTCCAAGAAAAGTCATCCAGCCAGCTATAAACAATTTTCCTTCCTGATGCTCCCACCTCACTTCTGATTTCTTCCCTTTGTGTGTGTGGGGCGGGGGGGGGCACCATTCCATGAAATGTGGTCCTTCAGTGAATAAAAAAAGAGAGAAAGCAAGCAAAGCTGAATACCAGCATTTATTTTTTTCTGCCTTCTGTATGTGGATGCAAGGTGGCCAGTCACCTCAAGATAGCCATGCCATCTCTACCACGATACATTACGCCATGAAACTGTAGCCAGAATAGACCTTTCTTTCCCTAAGTTGCTTTTGTTGATCATTTTGTTACAGCAAGAAAAGTAAACAAAAATTGGTACCAGGCAGGAGTGGGTTCACTACTGTGACAAACATGGCATATGGTTTTTGGTCTCTTGGTACCAGATTGCAGGAGGTATGAGGGAGAAATTGAAACTTCGAGCTATAAAAACTCTAGAATGCTACAGTAGGACTTTATCAGCCAGACTGATGGGACCTTGGAAGACCAGAATGCCAAGAGAAATGCAAACCCTGCCGGTTCAGCTTTGAGGTTTGAGAGGGGACAAGGACTCTATCAGGAACTGGAGGAGGGGCCATCAGTCTGACATTTAACTGCATTCTTCCCATGTCCTGAAAACGTGTCAGGCTTAATTAAAAAATAATGCACTAATTAGTTTAGTGGAAGAAATCTCTAGACAGGATAGCATTCAGGCTGTGGCATGGTTACCGTTCACTGCTCTTATCCAGGTCGACAGTGAGAGAGCAACAAGCAAAGCATTAAGATGGGAAAATATACAGATTGGTGAGGAAAAGATTGCAGCCACAGTTCGGGTTACAACTGTGATAGTTAAAGAGATTAGCACCATTAAAGAGAAACATTACACTGTAGTTGGAACTTTGGTCTGCCAACAAGCTCCCAAATAAAGACACAGAGATTTATTAATTATGAATGCATGGTTTTAGCTTAGGCTTATCCCACTAGCTCTTTTAACTTAATTTAACCGTTCTATTCATCTACGATTTTTGCCTTGGGGCTGTTTACCTTTCTTTCTTTGCTGCTTCCTCCATGTCTTCCTGGCTGGTCGCTGGCATCCCCCTGGCATTTCTTTTTCTTTCTTCCTGGAGCCTAAATTCCTCTTCTTACTTACTCTTCCTGCCCACCTATATTTACTCCCTCACTATTGACCATTCAGCTTTTTATTAGACCAGTTAGGTACTTTAAGCAGGCAAAGTAAAACAGCAACACATCTTTACCTAATTAAACAAATATAACACAAGTTTACATATTTACACCTATATTTACTCCCTCACTATTGACCATTCAGCTTTTTATTAGACCAGTTAGGTACTTTAAGCAGGCAAAGTAAAACAGCAACACATCTTTACCTAATTAAACAAATATAACACAAGTTTACATATTTAAGCAAATGTTCTGCAACCTTACATATATTACTAGGAAAGCAGGAAAGGTGACCTGAGGGTAAGACTCCAACCTGTGAAAAGGCAAAGGCAGCTGAAGGGAAAGAGACTGCAGAGACTGAGAAAGCCAAGGAGGTGGTTCCCTGCTCAAAACCCCACGCACAAGGGACATGTTTCCCAAGGACTGCCACACAAAGTCCAGCAATGGCCAGGCTCCATCCTAAGATAGCAGAGGGACTTAGCAGCAGCATCCCCATGACACTGTCTCGCAGGAATGAAGGATACTAGATTGAAGAGGTTATTGAGTCTTGCATCATATTCCAGAGAGTCACTTCGCAAGGCAATGTGTGGCAAGGTTGGATTCCCTCAGCAAGGCCCCAAAAGGCCACTGCATGAAGCCGTGAAGTGAAGCCTGTTTCAGTGGAGACCCCAGAATGTTGGAGATGTCAAGACCTTGAGATATCTGCTAAGGAAAGCTGTGGGTATGGAGCTGAACCGGCCCAAGAGAGAGCCTGTGTATGCTGCAGGTGGCAGAGATGAAGGCGGGGGGGGGGGGGGGGGGGGGGGGGGGGGGGGGGGGGGGGGGGGGGGGGGGGGGGGGGGGGGGGGGGGGTGTTATTCAAGTCTTTGGAGCCCAGATGGTTCCAATATGAGCTCCATTTGCTGGACATGAAACTGAAGAATTTTTCGTTTGCCCCAATGTGCTTTCATATTGCTTTTGTCTGGCCTTCCTTCTGTTCCCAACCCTTCCTTTCCAGGATAGGAATGTTTACCTTGGGTCATTGTGTATATAAGGAAGTAACTTGGTTGGACAGTATAGGGCTCAGAATAAAGGCGTAGCCGCAGTCCCAGAAGAGACTTGGTACTTAAACTTGGACCTGTTAAAGATCATCTAAGCCAGGTGTAGTGGTGCACACCTTTAATCCCAGCACTTGGAAGGCAGAGACAGGCAGATCTCTGAGTTTGAGGCCAGCCTGGTCTACGGAGCAAGTGCCAGAAGAGGCTCCAAAGCTACACAGAGAAACCTTGTCTCAGGAAACAAAGGGGGAGGGCATCTGTTAAAGAGGAAGGGGCATTTGAAACGGGACTATTGCCCTTGCATTATGAGATGCTTGTGAGCCCGTGGGGACAGTGGGGTGGAGGCATGGTTGAAAGTCACACATTTGAGTATCAAGTTGACAAGGAGTAGACTTATGATAATTAATATTGATTATAAACTTGACAGAATCTAGAATCACCATGGAAACAAACCTCTGGCCATATCAGAGAGGGCATGTCTCCATTAGGTCAATTGAAGTGGGAATGTAGGCAGCACCATCCCTAGGCAAGGACCTGGGCTTTATTTTTTTCGAGACAGGGTTTTTTTTTTTTATGTAGCCATGGCTGTCCTGGAACTCACAGTGCTCCTCTCTGTGTTCCTGTTACACAGTCCCTACCACTGTACACACTGTGAGGGCCTGAAGTGGACATTATATTAGTAAATTGTACGTAGCTTGAGTTCCCCCATTTCAGACCTATGTTTGTCTTAGAGTGTCTTCCAAGGTCTGGGGACAGACTGCCCCCCATCAACTTTGTGACCTGGAGAGACACGAACAGCAAAATAACCCAAAAGTAAAGACTTGGAGCCCCTTGAGAGCTGCTGGAAGGTGGCCATTCCCAACAAAAATTACCGTTGTCTATCCCAGGATGTGAAAAGCCCCAAGGTGGGAAGGAGAGGTTGGAAGTTCAGCCTAGACAGAAAGCTCCACCCTGAACTCCAGCTGATGCCTCAGCTCCCCAGCCTGGGGATTTCTGCTGGGTGATGTAAGGGCCTGACCTCATGACCCCCTCACCTCCTGCTATTTGTTCTTCTACTGAAAGCCTCACCTGAGGGGACACCTACTGTGCGGGGACTCTTCACAGGGAACTCCAGCAGGGAACCTTGATGGGACTTCCCCAGTCAGCAGTGCCTGATTCGACGTTTGTCCCCTCCCTCCCTCCTTCCCTCCCTCCCTCCCTCCCTCCCTTCCTCCCTCCCTCTCTCCCTTCCTCTCTCCCTCCTCCCTTAAGAAACTCATTCAAAACAGAAACTATGGCTGCCGTAGACCATTCTCCAAACACAATTGTCCATTATAAACAAACATGCAAACTGCAAACATCCAGCTAATTTTTCTGGTAATCACATGGAAACTCACTAAAAGAAGCAGGAAAATTAACTTTTGTATTTTATTGCAATGTTTCCAAAACTGCCACCATTTTCCTGCAAGCCCACACGAAGACATTTTGGATATGTTGCCTTTGCGGTCACACTAACCATGCATCAAAGTTTGCACTGGCCACATTTTTAGTGGTCCATAGTCACATGCCCCTAGAAGGACTACTCTCTGCTTCCAGAACTTCTGCCCACTGACCGTGACTCCCAGACCCAAGGCAGCTGTGGGTCAGTGCTGTACTGAGTCAGGAGACCCTGGGCTGGGCACACTAGGTGACTCTTTGTTGGGTTAATGACTCCATTGTTCTTCTATTAATCAGCTCAGAGCACCACAGGTGGGAGGCTTAAGCTGCAGGTTGCTTTACCTCACCTGCTGGAGGCCAGAAGTCCACGGTGGAAGTGTCACAGGGCTGGCTTCTCCCAAGGCCTCTCTCTGTGGTTTGCAGACCACATCTGACACAGGCTGTGTCCTAATGTCTCTCTTCTTTATCTGAGAGCACCAGTCACTGTGGTTAGGGATCATGTGATCTCATTTACCTTCTTCATCTCATTCAAGATCCTGCCTCCATGGGGATGTTCTATCGGGAACTCACCAAGGCCAGCTGGCCTGGGTCTGAAAATGCCTGGGTTAAAACCGGTCTCACTGAACATAGCGGACAATGAGGACTACTGAGAACTCAAGAACAATGGCAATGGGTTTTTGATCCTACTGCACGTATTGGCTTTGTGGGAGCCTAGGCAGTTTGGATGCTCACCTTACTAAACCTGGATGGAGGTGGGTGGTCCTTGGACTTCCCACAGGGCAGAGAACCCTGATTGCTCTTTGGGCTGACAAGGGAGGGGGACTTGATTGGGGGAGGGGGAGGGAAAGGGGAGGCGGCGGTGGGGAAGAGACAGAAACCTTTAATAAATTAAAAAAAAAGGAAGATTGAATGGGATAATAGGGTAATTTACTGTGAACTTATTCACACTAATAATAATAGTGTGTAATAGCGTGAATACTTGTGAGCTATGATTTATGGACAATTTATACTAGTATAGTTTATTATATATTGATACAAGTTAAAATTATATTTGTTATTTTTGTTTATAATATTTGTACACCTATGCAAAGTTATTTTGTAATATTGTATGCATGCATGTTTGTACCTCTGTTTAAGACATTTTGTGTATTGATACAATTTTAGGATAAATTTATAATATTACATTATATATTTATACCTCTGAAAAAAAAAAAAGATCCTGCCTCCAAATTCAGGTGCTGAGCGTATGAGGGATGAGGCATCTAACACACAGATTCCCGTAACAAAATCCCCCACACCGGCTGCCATTTCCAACCATTCACTGCCCTCTGTGTGGCTACTGCCTGTATCAGGACTACCAGCCATGAGCAGAGGGGCACATCTGTCTCTTCTGGGAACATTCTGGCTGGAACCTTTTTGGGGGATGGGTGCTAGTATCCAGGCAGAGACACCCAAATACCCAAACCAGTCCCCAAAAAGCCATCACTGAAATGAGCAGCCCAGGCCAGCGGCAGAGGCCACGAGGGACATGTGCTGCTCGTCCACTTCCAACTCCAGGCATAATGGGAGTGGCTGCCTCGCACTCCTCCCAGTGACGGCTCAGCCATGACGGGCTTACCTGGAGCTGTGAGCTGAGTCCTCATGCTGCTTCCGTCATGGTATTTACGGCAGCAACCATCAGGAGGCCAAGACACTATGACATCGTTCTGGATTATGAGATGCAAAACTCAGGCTTCCCGAGGGCACTGCTCCCCATCTCTAGCGTACTGTCTCTCTGTACATGGATGTCACGCAAAGTCCCCCGGAGCAGCTGCAGCCTTCCTGCAGCAATGAAGCCCTAAACCTGCGCTAAAGAGGGCAAAACCGGAGCCAGTCCTTGCCAAGTCGCAGAATTGCCACGCTGCAGCCTCGAACACTGAGCACAGACACATTGCTATGCGATCTGGCTCAAGGAGAAAACAGGGGATCGCTGAATACCACCACTGAACTGGGGAGTCGCATAAGGCTGGCAGATGCCCCATCTCCTGTCTTGTCACAGCCTCGGGTCTCTCGCACACATGGGCAAACACGTATTCACAAGTGTGTAAACTGGAAGTACTCCTCTCCGAGGCCACCTGGGCTTCCTAGAGTGAGGGACTTTGAGCTTTAAAACCAGCACAGTCTCGCGAAAGCTGCGTCACCATTCCCGTAGGTTCATTCTTATGACAAACCAGGGTGGGAAACTGGGACCCGATGGGTAAGGAGTTGTTTCGGGGCCAAGGAGGCTTCGATTCTATCTCATGAGGCCATCTCGAGACGTGTCACTAAGATCTGCTCTGGGAAACTGAAGCAGCTCTCTGCCTGCATCCAGTGACTGGTTGGGGCAGCAGAGGTTCCAGACAGCACTGGCCTTGGGAGTAATGGCCATGTGTGGGACATGGCCTCCCACACAACTCTGGCTCTTATTAACAAAAAATAGCGCTAGGGAAAGGCCAGGCATTTCCTGGGGCATACACTGCCATGGGGCGAGCACCTGGTAATAAGGGTTGCTTTGACAGCCCAAGTGGGACAATCCTCACTAATCTAAGCAGCTTCTGGGGCTTCTCTGACCCTGTTGTTTCGTCTGTGCTCTGGTTTCTGCACAGTGGGTAGGACTAAGTATTGTATCCCTGCCTGACTAGTAAAGGCCTAGGGAGGTTAACCCAGGCTAAAGAGCTCACGGTGGCAGCGCTGGAGAGGCATGGCAGGGGAGCAAAAGTGTCTTGTATGAAGGCATCTGTGGTACCCAATGGACAGAGGGATGATACAGTCACAGTACAAAACCTCCTGGGTTGGTCTCCACTGGTCCTCACGCTTACTCTTCCTTGGGTTTGTCAGGATAACGCCGGGCCAGCCTGTAGTCCATATAGGTCCCCAGACAGGACCACAGGATGAAGCGCACCAGGAGGATGACAACCAAGAGCACCATTAGTGGGTCAGGGCCAAGGGTGTCCCCAAGCCAGGAAGCCATGCTGAGGCAGGAGGCAACCACACAGGCTGGAGCAGCAGCAACCTCTCTGGGGCCTGTGCTCAGTTCTGCTTTTTCTGTCAGTGGCCCCTTCTGAGGGACAGACCCGTGCAGTCTACAAACAGTCCTTCCCACCGCACAGGGCCTCCCTGCCTGTGAGGGGACAGTTGGGGCTACAGGCGGCCTCCTTGGTCAAGAGGCCCGTGCACCATTCATGGGGAGCTAAGCACTCCGTGCACCGACAATGGCAGCATTGTCCAGAGGCCCTGGCGGCGGGAGGCCTGCGGGAGCCCGCCTCCCGCGCTGTCCCCGCGGCCCCTGCCCGCCAGGCTGACGTAATCCCCAAACATCTCCGGCGGTGGCAGCTGCAGGGCGAAGCCGCCGCCTCCTCCGGGCCTTTCCGGCTGCCGCAGACAATCGGGCTCTTTCTCTCCCCAATTAGCTATCACTTCTGGAGGCCGGCGCAGTCCAAGGCTGGGCGGGCTGTGCAGCAGCAGCAGCAGCAGGCCCGCACCGAGCGGGGGCCACGAGGCTTGCAGGGAGGCCCGGCCCAGCAGGGAGGGCGGCAGGGAGACTGTACTATTGAAAAGAGAAGAGAGGCACAGAGAGGGGAAACAGTCGGCTGGAGCCCAGAGGTGACCCCAGACATGGCTCAATTAGCACACAGGCTGTGCGCAGAGTCCCCAAGGCAGCTCCAGCCTGTGGCAGCATGGGGGTGGTCAACACAGACCGCCCCAGAAAGGGTCTGGAACCTGGGAGGAGGGGTAATCTCTTCCCTCTGGAGGTGGGCTGAACACCACCCACCCCAGCCCCACAGAGGTTTCTGAGAAAGGAACCCCTACCGGCACCCCCAGCCACCCGCACAAGCCTACAGGCCTATTAGCCCGGGACTCACTGAGTGATGGTAGAGAGGATGCTTGCTCCCTTAGAACTCAGGCTCCTTGCTGGGAAATGAGGTCAGAGCCCCCTGATCTGAAAGACAAAGAGAGTATCCTTAAATGGGCTCAGCAGCGCAGAGCAGACACCCTGGAGATGCACCTCCAGAATTTTCCAGAAAAACAGCACCTGTCCAATTATGTCTGTCTGCCATACACGTGTGCTCGTTGCATTCATGCGTTCCCCCCACATGTACGCGTGCACGAGCGCGCACACACATACACACACACACACAGACCCTATCCACTCTGGTTCCTGATAACTAAGTCTCCTTGGGTGAGAGACAGCTGGCTTGCTGTCTCCTACCCCTAATACCAACTTGTGTCCCACAAAGCAGCGCATCACCTGCAGCTGGGAGCACAGTGCAGGGAAATGAGGGTCAGAGTGTTGGGCCACAGGGTACGGGACTTCCAACCCAAGCTGTCTCCCCAGGAGCCAGTCCAACAAGCTGTGAGAGATGCCAGGTGGCCCTTCCACATGGAGAGCCTGTGTGCTCCATCACCTGTCACCTCTCGCTGAACTCGCCTGGGTGGCAATGTGAGTGTTCAGCCTGTACAGTCTTTCTAGAAGGTTCCTAATAATGCAAACACAAAGGACTGGCAGGCAGCACACCTGAGGGTAGGAAGTGAAGAACGAGGTTGGTGCCAGTCTGTGGGTTTCACAACACTGACCTGAAGTGTGCCAGGTGCACTTAAGTTACCGGTGTCCACCCTCCACCTCTCATCCGGCAGCTGGTACATCCCTGGACTCACCGAGGTTATCTCCCGCTCTGCAACTTACGGGGCATCTTGCCAGGCCACCCAACCCAGCACTCTGGGGACAATACTCTCGGAACAAGCTCCAGATTTATTTTTCTCACTCCAAATTTAAGTGAGGGCCTAGAAATTCAGAGCCAGGCCCAAGCATTTGCTCGTCAAGGGTTTCTGGAATGTCCTGGAAGGTCCTGCTCCCTTAGTAAAGAAACCCACGTGAGTCTGGGGTGATGGTCCCCAGATGGACACCACCATGCTATTGGGAAGGGAGGAAGCCAAGGGCTCAGCCAGCCACTCACTCACCTGGGAGGCCACATCTCCGGTAAGGCTGGCTTTCTTGAAAGCCCGAGCTGTCTGCCCTGAGTGTGGCCACCAGCTCAGGCCCACCAGACTGGTGGAGCCAAGGTGGCCCGGAACAAAACTGTGTTTGTCAAGCACACCATCAGATAGGCCAAGTCAATATTGTCCCAGGTCACATGGCACCTAGACACAGGAGACTGTGGGGTCAAGGAGGCCTGACCTCTCCTGTTCACTGCCTCCGAGAGTCAGCAAGCACAAGGTCTGAGTATCCTTCAAGGGAGGAAGTGTGTGACCCTCCTCCCCTGGACAGCACCACACTGCTCCTAAGAGAGGATGTGGGTGGGGTGCTGGACCTGAGGATGGAGGAGGCACGGGAGAAAACATGAAATGATGGGAAGAGCACAGATACAGCTCCTCTGCCTGGAAGACACGTGGGTGCCCCCGCTGTGGCAAGAGAGACTCCAAGTCACCCACAACTGTCAGCAATGGTGAGCACAGTCTGTGTTCTTCCTGGTCCTTTAGGGCCCCCCAGCCTCATTACCAGAGCTAAGGAGCTGTCCCCTGGGCAGACATTCACCAAACCTTGACCATGCAATGGATGAGCCCGGGTGCCCTGGACTAACTAAATGGTACACAGCCACTAGAATATCCTGCCATTGAGGAAAGGGGCTTGTGCCCAAAGCCAATCCTTTTATGGCTTCCGCCATCCCCATCCTCCTGCTTTCCGATTTCCTCTTGGACCATCACATCCCGAACCACTTGCTATAGGACATGGCCCAAGGCAACATGACAAACCCAGAGACGCAAATAGTGTCTGCTATGATATTCAGAGCTCAGCCATGGAGGCTCCTGTCACTTGTGACAGGGGTCAGATTTGGAGACTCTGGTTAGCTTTAAGTCTTGAAGGATCCATGGTGACTTCCTACGTGTATGTTCAAGCACTGAAGTGACAAGGGACAGGTTTCTTGTCCACTATTCCCTGGTGTTTATCAAGTAAAAACCCTGGCTGGTGGGGAACAGCAGGGGTGAAAAGTTTGGGAGGGGGCAGCTCTTTCCAATGGAAAACTGGTCCCCACTGGGGTCTGTTGTCCCTACTGGTGACAGTGCTGGGAATGAGCCCAAGGACCCACTCAAGTGCCTGCTCAGAGCCCTCAGCAAGCAGGTCTGTGTCCATGTGTCACTTCCTTGCTCATAAAGTGCACAGCCACCATTCCTGGCGGCAAGCAATGCGGTACTGGACATGCTTCACAGGGGTGGCACACCCAGACATCACTAAGGCCCCACTGGACTGCGTGGACTCGACCTTGAGGTGGAGGCATAGTTAAGGTGCATGCCTGCTTCTGACTGGTTTAGAATGCTTGGGGGGGAGCGTCATGTGAGTGCGTGCCTGTATGTGTGTATGTGTGTGAAGGCCAGAAGTCAACCTCAGGTGTCGTTCCTCAGACACCAGCCACTTTTTTCTCTCTTTGAGATAAGATTCTTCTCTGATCTGGAGTGGTGATCTGCTGGTCTCCACCTCCCCAGTGCTGGGGTCACAGAGTCTGTCACCATACTTGACTTTTCTCAGGTTCTAGGGATGGCACTTGGGTCCTCACACTTGTGTGGCCAGCTCTGCCCAGCCCAGAGCGACTTTTCCTTTTCCTCCCTGCACTCACAACCTCTAAACTCTCCGTGTTTCTCTCTCAGGAGCTCTCCAGGGTCTCCAGGTGCCACATAAGCTGGGGTCTCTAGGGCAAGTTACAGGAAGCCCACACTTCTTAGATCAGATTCTGCCAACTGTGTAGCCTCCAGCTGCAAGCGCTAAGAGTAAGAAGGGTCCCCAGCCTTAGTAACAATTGCTACTTTTATTTCTTCTCCTCCTCCTCATCATCTTTTTCTTCTTTGGTTATTCTAGACAGGGTTTCTCTGTGTAACCCTGGCTGTCCTGAAACTCACTCTGTAGACCAGGCTGGCCTCAAACTCACAGAGATCCTCCAGCCTCTACCTCCCCAGTGCTGGGATTAAAGGTGTGCGACACAATGCCCGGCACTTCTATTTTTCTGAACATTTATTTTATACTATATTCACGGGTGTTTTTGCCTGCATATGCGTCTGTGCATTGCATGTGGACAGTGTCGGCAAAGGCCAGAAGAGGGTGTCAGCTCTCCCGAAACTGGAGTTACAAACGGTTGTGAGCCACCATGTGGAAGCTAGGAACTAACTCAGGAATAGCCAAAGCTCTCAATGGTTGAGTCATCTTCCCAGCCCCCAGTGGTTACTTTTATCTTTTTACAAAAATCAGACACTCGTGCTGACAGAGATGAAAGAGTTAAGCATGAGAAAGAGAGAGAATGAGCACATCCCTGCAGAAGTGTGGGGATTACAAAAGTAACGGTCAGTTACTTCTGCCAAGAAGGAGCTCCAAAGGGTGAGGAAGCCTCGGTAACCCTGGGGATACTCTCAGAGAAAGTCTGTAGTCAGCCCAATTCTTCCCTGAGAACCCCACCCTCAAACACACAGCCGCAAGGGGCCTGGTAGTGCATGTGAGCCTATAAAACAAGGGCTCAAGCTGGGAGGAGGCGGAAACTTTTTTTTCTTATTCTCAATAAAATAAAAAAAAAAAAAACAAGGGCTCAAGTTCAAGGCCAACGTGAGCTACACTATCAAACAGGGCCCGGTACTGAAAAACAAAAGGATCTGGCTGAGCGGCTAAAGCACCTGCCTCACAAGCAGGAGGTACACTGTAGGGTGGGTATGGCAGTCTGTATGCACCCCCAGCTTGGAAGGCAAATCCCTAGCCCTGTAGTTTGAGCTCAGTTTGACTGAAAGACCTGCCTCATTGAATAAGATAAAGAAGAGGGACAGAAGATGATCCTCCACACGCACACATAAACACACATACACATACAAAATTCCACACACACACACATATACACACACGTGCCCATACATGCAAACCTACACATGCACACACACACACACACGCCCACACATGCAGAACTACACGCACACATATATACATGAATGGAGGCAGGGACAGACATGGTAGCAGTGTGCATGTATAAAGTCCCGCAGCAGGGAGGCTGAGGCAGGAGAATCAGGAGTTCGAGACCAACCGAGGCTATCTAGTAAATTGGCATTCTAAGCTACATGAGACCCTGTCTTGAAAAAAAGAAAAAGAAAAAAGTCCAGCCCCTGAAATCAACAGAACGTGCTTTTCAAAGAGGATTGCCCCCTCAGTGCTTGAGACCCCCAGACAGGAGAAAATAAATCTTTCTTCCTGCACCACAAAGGCAGATTAACACCGCTGCCGCTGGCAGGACAAGTGGGGAGGTGGAGGGCTGGGTCAGCGAGGGGCTTGTGTCCCAAGGAGGGGCAGCCCTCTGAAAAGGCCGCTGCAGGCCAAGCCCGAGGAGGCCGTCTTGCAGCCAATGAAAGCCAGTGTGTAACTCTGCCTGGTGATCAAACAGCCTGCAGGCCGCTGTCAGCCCAGAATGAAATTCCAAATAAATTAGCCATGTCCCAGAAGCCAGCACAACACCGGATTAGGGCGTGCAGAGGAGCGTAATTTATTCAGCCTCTCTTGTCAGAATTCCTAACGGCCTCCCTTGGTATTTCTTGTCTCAACTGACAGTCCCAGAGTGGGAAGGGACAGTGAGCCCCACGTGGAACTATACATCAGAGGAGCTAATGGACCAATGGCACCTAAGTGTAGACGAAGTCATGTTTTCACGGATATTTCTGCAGAGAGTGGACGTCATCCCTAAGGGGAGGCAAGGCGTTGGAAAGTCTAGGCACATGTGTGACTCTCGCATGCCTTTATCTGGGCAGCAGGAACCAGGAGTGCCAACCACTATTAAGGGTTAGGAGGGAGAATCCTCCCCCCTCCCAGGCCTGCTAGAGGTGGCTGGTTTGGAGTGGCCACCTAACTGTACCTTGAGAGGCAGTAAGGAAGTGAGAAAGGGCCTATAACCCCCCCGCCCCCCCCCCGCAATTGCTAGCGGTCCAGGGCTGGGACTCATTAACACATTCAATCCTAAAACAATACCTGTTTTTATCAATGAACCCAGACTAGCTTTCACATGCAGACAAGACCGTTTTTCAAGAGACAGAGTGGCTTGTGCCTCTCTAGAGGAGCCTTTGAAGACTCGGCCTCCTCGGTCCCCCCTTCCCCCTCCTCTCTCCTTCTCCTCTTCTTCTCCTGCCTCCTTTGAAGGCTCCAGGCCTCTTCCCACTCTTCCAGCTCCCACTCCCCTAACTCCCTCCCCTAACCCCCAATTCCCCCACACACACTTCTTCCCTCCCTCTTGTCATCTGTTTCCCCCTTCTCAGCTGTTAGGGTATTACCCGTACCCGCTGTGCCCAAAGGCCTTCATGAAGGGTGAAGGGCCCTTTCTGTGTCCTCAGAGGCTACCCTGCCTCTGAGACATGGTCTCTGTGCCGCAGCCCTTACATCAGGTATACTGCCACAGCCATGGAGAAATGTGACCAGCATCAGAGTGGATGAGACAGAAAGCACAGCCAAGTCCACACAGACCTGGCGCGAGTGTCCACGGTGGCTTCACTCACAGCCGCTCATCTGGATACAACTTGATGGTTGGTTACGTGGGAGATGAGAAACCGAGTTCTGCTCTGTTCCTAGTCAGACAGCCTGGAACGGACACAAGGCTCATGTGATCTTGAGCAACAGGCGAGACACAGGCACACAGGCTGCCGGCGCAGACAGTAAACACTTGGTGGCAGGTGATGGGAGCCATGCACAAGGCTACCTCTGCAGGAGACACTGATAGAATGTTCTAGAACAGGTAAAGCCACAGGGACAGCACATAGGCCCTGCTGCGGGCCAAGCTTAGTAGCAAGGGGGCAGAATGAGGGAACTTGTGTGACAAGCTACCTTGTGACAGCTGAATCACTGAACTCTGTGTACGATGGCATCACACAGCAGAAACATAAACAAACGCGATTTTCCCTTTCTGCTAACTACACCTCAGACTGTCTGCACCCACGAAGGCCTCACTCTTATCACTGACCTTACAGTAAGGGTCGCAAAGAGCACAACTCTTGAACTTGGGCTAAGATGCTGGGAAGATGTAGCTTCTTGAATCATGTCCCTAACCAGTCTTACCCTTGCTACTCT